GCATTAATTATTTATCATAAGCCATTATTATAATTTTATGGCCCATCTTAGAATCCTGGATGAAGTAACTTTTGATAGCTGCTTCTAGGGTTAAAAATAAACTCTAGGGGTTTATGGTCTGACTTTCATAGGAACATTTTACCTAATAAGCAGTGTCAAGCTCTGTCTGTGGTTCAAACAATGGCCAATGCTAATTTGAATAATTTATTTCTGCTGTTGTCAATCTTCTTGAAAAGTACATTATTGGATGGCCTTCTTGCGATAAAATTGCTGACACAGCTCAATCACTCACATAACCTACTTTCTGGAATCAAAGATTTTTACAATGAGTTTTTCTGCAAGTACCTCTTTTAAATCCTTGAACACTAAACTTTGCCTCTGAGTCCATTTGAATTCACTATTCTTTTTCTGAAGTTCATCAAATGGTTCTGTTAAGTCACTGTATTTTGGTAGGTATCTCATATAAAAATTATTCAATCCAAAAAAAGGATTCTAATTCTTTTTTATTAGTAGGTATAAATACCCCGAAAATTTTCTTAATTAACTTTGGATCTTGTGCAATGCCATCTTTTGAAATCTGGTACTCTAATTATGATATCGTATCACAATCAAATTCATATCTGTCTCTATTTATTGTCATCCCTGCATTTTTAAACTTGTTTTACAGATGTACTATTTTTTTGTTTTTATTCATTTTTAGTGGTATCATTAAGGCAAATATTATCTTGATAAATAAATCATATTATACTAATTTCATCTCTTAATACGTTTTTCATTGCTCTCTGAAAAATGGCACTTACTGTTTTCATTCCAAAAGGCATTCACATCCAATTTAATAATCCTATCAGGGATGTATATTCTGGTAATTTCCTTGAATTTATCATCAATCTGTATTTGATTGTAGGCCAATTTTAAATAAATTTTTAGTAAAACATTTAAAACCTGAAAATTTGTGGATAGCAATCTATATATTGGGAATAAGAAAAGAGTCCTAGCATATTTTATGATTTACACTTATTTTACAATCACCACATATTCTTAGATTCCAACTTGCTTTTCACAAGACAACAATGGGAGAGTTGCATTTACTTCCATGTGCTCCAAAATTCTCTCCTCTACCATTTTCGTTAACTTAGCAACTATCAAAGGCAAAAAGTGAATAGGTAATTCATGATATTCAAAATAAGAGTGGGTACTATTTTCATTTAATAGTATACTTGCTTTATACCCCTTTAACACACCCATTTTTGCCTTTTCTAATTTTACGTTACTGATTAATTTCAATGTATCCACCTTTAGTACATCTATACCTAGTAGCCCATGAATTTTTTTACATTCTACTACTGTAATAGGAATCATTTCAAATCAGTCACAGGTTTCAAACATTCCATTGAAGTATTACAAATTTTTTATAAAAACTCCATCAAATTCATTTTATAATTTCTGAAATTATCATGAAAGTCAAATTCTCTAATTGTTTAGAGTATGCCATAATAGAAATTTTCCTTATAGCTTCACAAACTTCTGAAGCTAAAATGAGGTCAGTTATTTCATTTTCTCCCTGCTTGTTTTTCAATGTTTTTGGTCCTAGCCTGGGTTGTAAAATACCGGATCCAAGTCTCAACAAATTCTGGTTCATCCAAGCAAATTAACATCTTATTGGCAATGCAATATGATTGTATTGTGTTGTTCTACAACACATGATCAGTCGTCAACTTCTTGCTTGTCTCTTTCTTTACTATACACTTTATATCTATATTCAAATAGGTACAATCCTATTTACCAATCCATTGCATCTCCCTAAACTGAAAAGATTTAATGATTATTCTGGCACCATCAGGCAATGGGAAATACAAATATGTTGTATTTTGTTGTTTTACGACACATGATCAGTAGTCAACTTCTTGCTTGTCTCTTTCTTTACTATACACTTTATTCTTTTTAATTAACATATTCAAATAGCTACAATCCTATTTACATATCCATTGCATCTCCCTGAACTGAAAAAGTTTAATGATTATTCTGGCACCATCAGGCAAGGAGAAATACAAATGTGTTGTATTTTGTTGTTTAACGACACATTTTCAGTAATTAAATTCTTGCTTGTCTCTTTCTTTACTATACACTTTATATCTCTTTTACTTAACATATTCAAATAGGTACAATCCTATTCACCAATCCATTGCAAAATATATCCATGATTGATAAATTATTTTCACCAAGATTAAATTGTATTTCAGCTTTTATACTATGAATGCTACTTTTTACTTTATTTATTTTCACCTATAATATGAGCCAAACTAAAGAAATCTATGTCAGGTAATTTCATATGGGGAAATTGTTTAAGGCATTATAGATATCACCAAAATGGATGCTTTTTTTCAAAACAAAAACAAATAATCAATACCCAGTTTTAAAATATTTGCCAAAGATCAGGAAATTATCCAATTCAAATTAAATTTTCAGTACTTATTCATTAATAAATGTTTGACTGAATAGGTTGCTTTATTAAATTTTTTGTGTGGGTGGCATGTTTTGTTACCTCTCTTTGATATCTTGTGTACATTTTGATTTGGGTGGATTTCATTCAGTTATTTTTTTTTTTACTATTCAATATATTATGATACTAACTCCTGTACAGTCAGTTTTTGTGTCTTGAAAGTACTGTTTTCCAATCCATAAGTATTTGTGTTACTTTTTTTTTTCATATGTCACTGTTTTTCCTACTTGAACATCAAGTGGCCACCCAGGAGTCTTGACTTAACACCCTGTGACTTTTTTCTTTGGGGTTGGTTAAAGAATCAAATCAAAACTTTGGAAGAACTTAAGGATGAATACAAGTCTTCCATACTACAAGAGTTCCTGATGAAATCACTTGATGTAATTCCTGGGCAGCTTGAGAAGCTGGTAGCAAAATCTGATGCCCATATCAAATTTTAAATAAAATTTCATGCTAAAGGCTTTCCTATCATATCTATTTCTTGTAAAAATTATAGTTAATAAGTAAATTATAAGTATTTTAAAATGGAGAGTTACTTTTCAATCATCCTGTAGTTACATTTCATCATTGCTGATTGAACCCTGAACTACTGACAGTAACAATGTAGGGATGCCAACTCAAGGAGGCCCTGTGCCTTGAGAGACAATTGGGCCTCAAATTCACACTTGACCTCAAGTGGAACTCATACATACTTATCATCACTAAAGATGCACGTAAAATTGTTGGCTCCCTGTACCACTCCAGTAAGTACCTGATTCCTCACACTCTCTTCTACCTTTAAAAAATGGAGTACTGTTGTCATATTTGGGTGGGAGCTGCTTAGTCCTCATTTTCCAATCTTGATCAAGTTCAAAAGTATCTCCAAGTCCTTGTGGGTAACAGATTATTTTCCACCATCCAATCTCTCTCTCGCAGGCAGAATGTGGTGAACCTATCCTCTCACTGCTCTATCACTACTTCAATGGAAAGTGCTCAGATGAACTATATTCTTTAGTTTCACCAGGCCCTAACCTTCATGGCAAGGACCCACCATGCCAATTACATTGTAGCAAACCACCTACATTCCCTCCATATTCCATCAGTGAGAAGTTCCACTCAATCAGATTCTTTCTGTGAAACAGATTCCAAAGAGGATGATTCCCTGATCACTACAATCTTCGGCACCAAAAAATTTTCAGATTTAGCAGACAAATAATTGATTCACATAAAATAAAAGAATTTACTACTCTTAGAATAAATATTTTTTCTTTTCATATTAATTTAACACAAATTATGCCTTTGTTTATGCTATTGGGCTTGTCTATTAGCCCAATCTTACCTTCTTCGAGTAATGCACTATTCCAACTTTCATTCGTAAATCTAGCCCTCTGATTGGTTCATTTCTACCAATCAGGTCGCCCGCACGTGCACTTCGAAGTTTTGGCGCAAAATCGTCTCGGATCCACTCCACGTGATCATCACCTCTTAAAAAGAACCAAAACTTCGAAATGCACGTGCGGGCGACCTGATTGGTAGAAATGAACCAATCAGAGTGCTAGATTTACGAATGAAAGTTGAAATAGTGCATTACTCGAAGAAGGTAAGATTGGGCTAATAAGGTAACGCATTAATGCCTTTATGTATTCATTTTTAAGTTTAAATAAAAGAAAAGCCTAGAGAATTAAAAAAAAAAAATACGTATATTGGTAAAATAAGGTTAAAGAAAATTTATTTTTAAACATAAATAACAAATTCTTGATTATTGCACTTCTGGTCTTCCGTAGATTTTATTTTTACTTTTGCAAGCGCTTTTTCGGACAGCCGTAGAATTATTACAATTTTTTTTTTTTTTCGTTTTTTTACTTCCTTTGATCCTACAGGCTAGCGTGCGCAAATAAAACGTTATTTTCATTCTGTTTAAAGTAAAATATAAACATTACTTTTAGAAAATTCAGTCAATTGAATTAATCCTTAAATTTACTAACAGATTTTGAAACGCATCTCTGGGACAAATATTGGATTTTAAAAAGAGAATTTTAATTTTTCGTGATGGTCCGATGAGTGAAGAAAAACGTGCTAAGCTTTTTAAAATGCCTAAAAAGTTGATTTAATTATTTTTTCTTTTAATTCCGATTAGCTTTTTAAAGTCATTATCTTTCAAATAGAAACAAAATTTAAAATAATTCAATGACAAAAATAAAATGCGTTTTTCAGTTTTTGTTTTTATATCCATTCTCAGAAACATGGAATCCGAGACGGTACAGTAGTTTTCTTTGATTTCACCTTTGAGTCCATATAAATAAATCTAAGTTGATTTTATGCTTTATTGGACTTACAAAGGAAATTTTCAATCTTTTTGTGACGAGGATGTCGTTAATCGTCCTACAGTAAGAAATCAAAACGGAAATGCATTGTTCATGAGTCATTCAGAGTAATCTCCCTTAGATAATGTTTTGACCTGACGAAGTCATTCGACCGATGCGAAGAGAAAAATTACTGAATTGTGTTTTCTGGTTCTATTATGGGTAGCAGGCGTGTTGTCGTCACTGGACTCGGCATTATCTCCTGTCTTGGTTGTGAAGTGTCCGTAGTTTGGAGACGACTTATCGATGGTCACTGCGGTATCTCCTCGTTAACTGGAAAAGAATACGAACAGATACCCTGTCGCATAGCTGGGCAGATACATCGCTCAACAACAGAAAAAGGAGAGGACTCTGCAATAAATCTAGAAAAATATGTGTCTTTAACAGAGCAACGGAATCTTTCTCTTCCTACAGTGTATGCCTTGGTTGCGGCGGAAAAAGCACTGAATGATGCTGGTTGGAAACCTCAATCAGAAAACGATTCTCTGCGAACCGGTGTTGCTGTTGGCCAGGGAATGGTTGATTTGGAAGAAATAGTCACAACCGGAACGTTACTCCGGGACAAAGGTTACAGAAAGGTTAACCCTTTCTTTGTCCCCAAAATCCTCATCAATATGACGGCAGGTCACATTAGTATGAAATACGGTCTCAACGGACCAAACCATGCCGTATCCACTGCGTGCGTATCTGGTTTACATAGTGTGGGTGACGCCTTTAGATTCATTAAGAATGACTTTGCTGATGTCATGGTGGCCGGTGGGGTTGATGCAACAATAAACCCACTGGCTATGGCAGGTTTTGCTAAAATCCGCGCCTTGAGTACCCGCTTCAATACGCGACCGCATGAAGCATCTCGACCTTTTGACACTCTGAGAGACGGTTTTGTTATGTCAGAAGGTTGTGGTCTGATGGTCCTGGAAGAATTTGATCACGCAATGCAAAGGGGTGCCCCTATTTACGCTGAAGTTTTAGGTTATGGTATGGCTGCAGAGGCCAATCATATAACTGCCCCTAGAGAAGACGGTTATGGTTCTTATCACTCTATGAGGTTAGCTCTTCAAGAAGCAAAAACAGATCCCACTTCTGTTAGTTACATCAACGCACATGCTACATCAACTCCACTGGGAGATGCTGCAGAGATCAAAGCTATTCGTCGGTTGTTTGGTAGTCATAGTAAAGAGTTATTTATTTCCTCTACCAAGGGAGCAACTGGACATTTGCTGGGAGCAGCTGGAAGCCTTGAAGCGATATTTTCCATTCTTGCTCTTCATACAGGCACCATACCGCCGACCATAAATCTTGAAAACCCTGATTCAGAATTCGAAGGATTAAATCTTGTGCCGAAGGTTAAGACCAAATTTTCAGAAAGCTCCGACCCCCGAATCGCATTAAGCAACTCACTTGGTTTTGGAGGAACTACAGCATCTATTTGTTTTTCTTCTGTTTCTTAA